GCTGAAGGTAAAGTGCACACTCACTGTTTCCCTGGTGCTCGTGTTCTCAATGATTCTGCGCAGATACCCGCGATCCTGAAGGGCGACGAGAGCACTGGAGCGGTCGTGCTTCACCCGGGGGTTAACGACAGCAAGCTGCGGCAGATGGAGACACTGAAGAGGGACTTCGGGAGCCTGATCGAGACAGTGGACAGCACATCACCCGCGACAACGATCACCGTGTCGGAAAGCGCTGTACAAATAAACTTGACTTGACTTGACTTACCATCATCCTCTTCAACCTGAAAACATGATTAGACAACATACCTGTACGACCCAACTTTCCGCCAGTTAAACAGATGATTGAAAACTACCGAAATTGTGCCTATTTTGTTACTGGTAAAGACTCTATTAGTTTATATATAACAGGTCATGTGACCAGACGTGCGTCTCTGATTGGTGGTTTTCGATGAGCTCCACGGCCAGGTTGCTCCCTACCTCGCACATACAGGTTGGCAGGGGAAGAGTACCGGACGCCTTCCACATTAGACGCCACACACTCGTACTTCCCCTGGTCGGTTTCCTCAGTGTTTTCTATCTGCAGAGCACCTGGGAGAGCAAAGAAAATGCACCCCAAAGAAAGGGATGAAAGACAGGGAAAAAAGACAGAGAGAGGGAAAAGACGGCAAACTATTAGAGGTTTGAAAGTAACACGACTGTCAGAAACCATTTTATTTTGTATGTTTGGTGCAGCATCATATCCTCACAAATTGCTCAAAGGCCTTTCCTGTTTGAAAGCCAACTTCGCCTTTTAACGCTAACTCACTGTGTTGAATCTGAGCAGTTCCACACTCAAGGCAAGAAAAATTAGACTGATCTAAATATGTCTGAATGCATCCCGTCAAACGCAAACAGAAAAGAACTAGCAGCAATGTTATGGTGTTCGCAGGAGTGCTGGATCGCATCAATCAGTGTGCCGGGAAGTATCAGGGTGTGGAGTCGAAGGAGATAAACCACTGCCGTTCCCAATGGGAGGAAAGTTGGTGAGGGTCAAGAGTGAGCTGTGAGCCGAACATCCATTAGTTCATGTCGAAATGTGCTGCACAGGGCTGAAGCTTAGCACAACACTTAAATCCCAGGGCATGAATTATTTCTGTCGGTCCCCCAAGTGCTGTAGTAATACTCGGGATACTACTGCAGAACTGAGAATGGCTATTGGCCGTACATGATAAACACTAGATATTCCTCCATATTAGGCCCCAGGGTTGGGTTGTAACAAGGTCATTTTCATGTATGCTGAAACACATGCAGACGGAGAAATTTATATTAAGCTCCACTTAGCATACAAATCCTTATTCAAAAAAACGTACGGTGCAACTTCACCATGAATTCACCTATGTACTAAAGGTCTTACTCATGGTAATGACTAGGGTTAGGGGCTAGGGGCTAAGTTTACAGGGTTTGAAAAAGGGGATGGGTTCAATGAATAGCATGAGAAAGTCAGCCCCTCCTGCATTTTTAGCTGTGCTTTTGAGGGCTGTCAAGTATGTTTTTTGTTTGTTTGTTTTTGCCACCAAAATGCTGTAGTTACCAACAGTGGCTAATTTTTAATGCTAAATCACAGAAACCAACCCCCTAGTTCAAACATCATAAAATGTATTTTGACTGCCTGTGAAAACATTTTATTTTACTATATGTGATAATTTGTTTCGAGGGCTCTTAACATAGGTGGTTGGATTCGCTGAGTAGCTTCAGTTAGCCACTACTGCATTTGTTTCTGTACTCTTGAAGGCCATCAATGAGAAAGTATGATTTTTGCAAACCAAAATGCTGTTGTTACCAACAGGGACTAATTTTCTGAGGCTAAATCACTAAACCCAACCATCCTAGTACAAACTCGATAAGAGGTATTCTGAGAACAAAATGTCTTTGATCCCTCTCACTCTTCCCTCAAATCTCCCTTTCGCTCATCCCGAGAATGTTTTTAATTATTATCTGTTATGTATAATTACATTTTGAATTTCCATTATCCATCCTGCCCATGGTGTCTTTGAGGCTGCCGGTGTAGCCTTCCGTTAGCGGCACCGCTTGCGACAAAACAAACTGTTATCTTACTTTAACCAATAGTGTCGAGCTCAAAGAGTCATAACGCCACACAATACCCTTTATGATAAAAGGCAAGTGGAAGTCATTTTAAATGGGACTCTCTGTCTATCTATCCATCCGTCCGTCTATGAATTAAATATATATATATTTATAGAATGAAATTAACTGATAAAAGTTTATACATCATTTTATTTGTATTTTTAATTCCATTTTGCAGTTTCTATAATAATAATAATAATAATAATAATAATAATAATGAATTACATAAATTATATACTAAATAATATATAATACACTAATTAATAAAATATCATTAAAATAATTAAAATCAATTATTAATTAATGCAGTACATTATTAACTATAATTGTTTTTATTATTTTGCTAGGTTCTACAAAGGAAAAAAACTATATTTATAATAGTAATAATTACTCTTTGTAAATTATAAATGACAAATTATTTAAATAATCTACAATATATAAATTATTTTAAATAAATTTAAGTAGGATTAAAATAATTATTAGAATAATTCTGTGCCTTGACAAACAAAATACAATAAACAGAACTTAAATAATAGAGGTTTCATCTACTTTTTATACTGACTATATTATATTATTTATTGATCTATTATAATAACATTTTCTTTATACAGTAAATACTACAATAAAACTATTTTAAATAAAATATGATACATTATTTGATATTGTTTTATTTTTCATTATTTAAATCTAATTTGCCATTAATAATAATAATAATAATAATAATAATAATAATAATAATGAATTACATAAATTATATACTAAATAATATATAATACACTAATTAATAAAATATCATTAAAATAATTAAAATCAATTATTAATTAATACAGTACATTATTAACTATAATTGTTTTTATTATTTTGCTAGGTTCTACAAAGGGAAAAAAACTATATTTATAATAGTAATAATTACTCTTTGTAAATTATAAATGACAAATTAATGAATCTACAATATATAAATTATTTAAAATAAATTTAAGTAGGATTAAAATAATTATTAGAATAATTCTGTGCCTTGACAAACAAAATACAATAAACAGAACTTAAATAATAGAGGTTTCATCTACTTTTTATACTGACTATATTATATTATTTATTGATCTATTATAATAACATTTTCTTTATACAGTAAATACTACAATAAAACTATTTTAAATAAAATATGATACATTATTTGATATTGTTTTATTTTTTCATTATTTAAATCTAATTTGCCATTTCTATAATATTAATAAACTGCGTTAATTATATACTAATAATTCATGAATAAACATTTGGATGTAAATAATCATTAAAATAATTTAAAGTCAATTATTAATTAATATAGCACATAATTAAATGTTTTATTTTTTTTCTGTTAAAAACGAACCTAGAGCGCCATCTGCTGTTAAAAACGAAAACGAACCTAGAGCGCCACCTGCTGTTAAAAACTAGCCTAGAGCGGTTAAAAATGAAAACGAACCTAGAGCGCCATCTGCTGTTAAAAACCAACCTAGAGCGCCATCAGCTGTTAAAAACTATGCTCAGAATCGATCCATGAATCGCGATGCATTGATTTATTGTCCCAGCCCTACCATTTACGGACCTAAAGAAGCTTCACTGAAGCATCAAGGGTCATCTTCAATCTCCAAAACACCGTAAATCACCCCTGCAGAGGATCTGCTCGTTCATTCGGCCAATCAGACGGCACAGGAAGTGCAGAGCGCAGCAGGAAGTCCGGCCTGAGCTGATTTCTGTTCCTGCAGCAGGACCGGATCCATACATCAGACCGCCGAGGACGCCAGATCTGGTTCTCCTCTCAAGAAAAACGTGTCCGGCCTGGTCTGGAAACTAAAGAGATCAGTTTCTCTTTGGGACAGAGATGCAAACAGGAGCGCAGGAGGTTTGGCCGCCAGCGATGGCTACAGGCCTTTTTCTCATCAGCGTAAATCCCTTCAGGACGGAGGATCGAGCGCTGGCCTCCTGAGCAAACATCCCATCACTCGCTCAAAGAGCTTCAACAGCACACGTGATCAACAACCGAGTCAACATGAAACGCTTTTACATCCTTAAAGCACATCTCCATACCGAAAAAACCCACTTCAACCAGTCTGAGCTGGACTCTCAGACTGAAAACCCTGTAAAACCAGCTAACAGACCAGTTTGACCGTGATAAGACTCGCAGTACAGCTTAGGCTAGATTAAGATGGTTTTTTTTCTTTAGCTGAGCCTCTGAGGTCATTAAAGTCACAAAGGCTACAAGATAACGTTAATAATAGCGAAATATGAAATATACATATCAGACCAGAAAAAAATAGCTAAATAAATCTGTTAAAAATATAAATAATCTAAAATATACCACCAAAAATAAATATTAAATAATTAAATACTTGAATATATATATTTATATACATATATATATATATATATATATATATATGGCTTGAAATATTTCAATAATATTATTAATATTAATAATCATTTAATAATATATAAAATTTAAGTTTGTAAAAAACATCTACAACGTCTTTTATGCTGACATTAATTAGCAAAACAACATTATAAATAATAATAATAATTACATAATTATTATAAATTATATTAATTAGCAGAAATATTTAGACAAATATCATATATACAATATAATAATAATATCATCATTATTATTGTTCAAATTATTGCCTTAAATATATAATGTAAATAAGTAAAAGCCTCTGTAACATGTTTTCTGCTTACATTAATTAGCAAAATAATGTTTGATTATAAATAACAACAATTGTTACATATTAATTATAAATGTTATTTAGCAAAAAATATTTAGACAAATATCATATATACAATATAATAATAATATCATCATTATTATTGTTCAAATTATTGCCTTAAATATATAATGTAAATAAGTAAAAGCCTCTGTAACATGTTTTCTGCTTACATTAATTAGCAAAATAATGTTTGATTATAAATAACAACAATTGTTACATATTAATTATAAATGTTATTTAGCAAAAAATATTTAGACAAATAAATTATATATAACACATATATACTTTAATTGACTTAAAACGATATTTTAATACAATTATTAAATTAATAATAATAACAACAATAATAAAATTATATAATTGTTACATAAACAGATTTTAGTCTTATAATATATGACGGTTAGCATTAATCAAGTGTCGAATGCCACTGTTTTCACAATGTAATTGATTCCTGATGAACAAAACCAACTGCCCTACACTCTCAGAATAAAAGGTACAAAAGCGGTCACTGGGGCGGTACCTTTTCAAAAGGGACTAATATAGTGCGCGCGCTCAAAGACAGTTGGACATAGTGGTGTATTAGAGGTAAAAAATGATATAAATACTGTTCGGTTTCTGGCACAAACCGATCGTTTCGTGTCTTAGGACATCAATGTGTCGTCTCGAGCCGCAGGGTTTAATTTGGATTTGTCTGTGCATGTTTTTTTTACACTCCTAGAT